ATCTATAGATTCCTCATCTGGTATGAGAATATCAAAGAATACTCAAATTCCCATAATTGATACTACTGCTTTCTGGCCATTGATAAGCGGACTGTAGAAATGCAATACATAATGTGCCTTACCATTTATGAATTCAATAAATTCCTCTATATCAATGGCCATAAATGAAATATTTTATTACTTAGATAGAGCATCTTTAAGAATTACAAATAATCTCTTATCGTTTTCCGCAACTATATCATTACAGCTTGGAATGCAATTCAAGTAATCCCTACTGAAGTAACGAATCATTTGTCCTTCCATTTTATCTTTTTCAGCCTTTAGGTGAAAAAGTGCGGGGCGTCGATGAACTCTAAAAGCTCAGAATTAGTTATGTTTTGGATATGATAACTAAGTATATCCTGAGTTTTGGTATAATATCCTAACAAAAAGTTTAAAATAAAAATAAATATTATTATAGACATCAAAAAGATTAACTGAGAATAATATCAATAGGTGGTAAATACATTTGCCAGTATCTCTCCAATGAAGGAATAGTTTGTAGGAATTTGACTAGAAGGGTATAGTATTCATTGGAAAAGATATCAGCGAGCTCTATGTAAACAAGATGAATGTATAAGACTGATAGCTTTTAAATATAGGTTTTGTAATTTGCATGTAAATAAGTGCTATTCAAAAGCAAATTATCATCGGAAGAAATTGGATAAGATGTTTCAGGACTGGTAAACTCCAGAAGTATTAGGAGAGTTTCTCGATAAAATGAAATGCCTAATGCTATAAGTTGGCTCTAATGATTTATCAATAATTTGACCCCATGAAAAATTTATAAGGACAGCGAAAAAACTTAACAAGAACACTAGAAGTATCTTCTTTAACGATTTTAGAACTCTGAGAAGGCAATTTTACTACTTGTTCCTATGTCCCTATGAGTCCCTATGAATTTTTGAACTCTTTACCTTTTTATTTTTTTTTATACTATATATCGATCATATATCAATTATATCAATCATATATATGACTATATTTGCCCAAGGATATATCATAGAAAAATTTCAATTTTTTTCTAGAACTTTTATATTTTATAGGGACTCATAGGGACATAGGAACAAGTAATAAAGAACTTAATAAATTAAGCTAAGAAGCCTAAAAATAATATCGAGATTATCTCTATAAGCGTCCTCATAAATTTTTCTTATAAGGACAGAGAATTTTTATAGGGACGCTCAAAAAAATAACATACATACTGCCTTGATCTAGTTTAAACTATGATTGGGCCTCAGAAGTGCTTATAACATCCCGTTAATATTTCTCAAAAGTAATGAGAAAGTTGCGAGAAAGTGACGAGAAGGTGACAGAAAAGTATCTAGAACTGAAGGCGCAGTAAAATTAACAAAAATTTCAGCTAACACTATTTTATAGTTTCAGCCAGATCATCAGACATAATAATTCAGCATTCAAGCTAGCATATAAGTGGTCTGAAACTAGCGAACTAATAGAATCTCTCTAGCTTCCCACTAGTTCTCTAATAGTTCTATAACAGTTATTACAGCACTATCATGACGCCATCATGTCACCAAGTTGGATCCCAAATTATGTGTTTCAAGATCAGCCAGAATTATGGCATAATGTCAGCCAAAATTAATCACAGATCTACTACGCTACCTGACGCAATATTTTTTTACCACATTTTAGCATCTAGAAAGGCAACCAAATAGGCACGAATTCTTAATATAGAACTAGTATCTAAACTAGTATAAAGGGCTAACACCCTCATTATAGAACTAGGTATTCAAAGAAGACTGGAAAGTCAGAACCAACAATATAGATTTTATTATATAAACAGATTAGGAATAAGAAGAAAGCAGTCACTATTAGATCATAATATCACTATTAAAATAAAGCATTACCAGTTACCATTAGATTATGAAGTTACCATCATATTATACAGAAAACAGTTGAAACAATACTATAAATGCAAAAGAGCTACCCATAAGTAGGTTATAAAATCACTATCAGAATATAAATAGTAGGTTATGAAGTTACTACCAGATTATGTAATTAGATTATGAAGTTACTAACAGATGATGAAATTATCACTATATTATGAATTACCAGTAGACTATGAAGTTACCAACAGACTATGAAGTTACTGATATATGTGTGTGAATCTGAAGGAAGAAATAACCTGCTCTATGCATATACTTTTCAGGTATCTATAGAGAATTTCTATCCTGTAAAAGACCTGGCGTTATTAAAAAATCGCTTTCCAATTTTAGCGCTCATAAGAGATTGTACGCTTGTTCTTATATGAAACATAGAAACATATAGTTCATGTAGATTGGGTGAATTTTCTGAAGCGATTAATAAAAAAGATTCTGTAATCATGATTTATATGACATTATATTAGAAGAACGATCCAAGACTGTTAAAACAAATCTGTCTTGTTAATGTCGAAATAGCATCAGATTCACGCTGGATCACAATTGTATGTGGATCACAAACTAATTTACTAAAAACATTTGCACTTTGCTGGCAGGCATTTGCTTCAAACATCCAACTCAGATTTAATGATTCGTAATATGACTGGCCTTTCATTATAAAAAAAGCCAATAAATTACATCTTATTAAATGGATGTAAAAACAGATGTCAGGAAGAACTCGCCAGGAGACTTCTGAAGGCATTATACAATGGAATTATTATGGAAGATTAGAAGAAGTGACTACTTCCGATGAAACTCTTTTCATGAAAGAGAATACAAAAGAAAATGTGAAAGAAGAATTTAGAAGAGATTTTGTTTTCATCAAAGTTAGTCCAAAAGATATGTTTAAATCTTCCTTTCTTAAAATACCTGAATGCATATCAATCGATATTTGTGCATACTTTAAAAGATTTTATCCTCACTCAGAAGTGGAAAAGGAAAGTTCGCTTAAGTTCTACTTAAAATTATGTAAGCTCGAGAGTAAGGCCGATATGCATTTTAACAGATTATGAAACTACTATTCTAAGACAAAAGAACTCTCTTCTGATATAACTGCTAGAAATATGCATAAAGTAGCAAACTATTGTATTATAGATGCGTTGCGTTACTAAGAACTTATAATCAAACGCAATATAATTAACAATTATAGAGAAATCGCTTCTATTGCTTATGTATCTTTATTTGATACACATTATCATGCAAATGGAATGAAGGTAAGGAATCTTCTGGGCGCTTATGCTACCA